TTATAATATTATATATCTTTATTTATTAAATATTACGTTCTATTTATTTAATATTATAATAAAATTATAAATTTATAAATTTATATAATATTATAATTATGGTATTGTTGTAATAAATTAACATGGTGATTTTATAATTTTAGAACATGAAATGAAACACTTTATTTGTGCATTTCCTACCCAAAAAAAAAGAACATTTTTTATGATAACTGGGCAACGACACTCTTTGAACTCCTAAATGGTTCGTTTGATAGAAATCAATTTAACAAAATTATAAGTAATGCCGTCAGATCTGTTGTCTGAAATACTAGAAAATTTCATAAGTTTCTCAAATCTACCAAGAAGTGTGAATCATGCTCAACCTAAAGAAAAAAAAAAAAAAAGTTTCTCTGAGTTGGCTCCAAAGGAGTCCCAAAAATTTAACAAATGGTAGAATGATAGGTGGAACTTGGAAAAACTATACTAAATGGAAATGGGTGTATGATGTATCAAAGCTGTCATGGTCTTGGAATTCCTGATAAAAGTGTATTTTTTATTAGGATCATACATGAAATTAAATCTAAACTGAAGCTGTTTTAGTTGACTTTGATCCACACGAATCTATGTAAATCTCAAGAAAGTAGGACGTATGGGGTCCCATGGATTCTTCAAAGTGTAGTTGAAAAAAAAAGATCAGTTTGCAAGACACCAGGGAAAAAGGGACAGGGTGGTCTCCAGCTTTTTGTATGAAGCTTTCTTAAGTAATTAATTGAACCCTAGATCCCTTTTGTCCAAGAAAAAGTGAAAAACTAGCCTCTGAATCCGAACCTATGAATAATATTTTGAACCGTACTGCGCCAAGGTGCTTCATGTGATTCTTCCTAATCCTATTAATGAAGTAATTAAAGAGACAAATATTGGTTAGGTTCCACTTCAAGCATATATAATTTGTGTAAGTTAAAAATCCGATATCAGTGCTACTTATACTCTTTTTAATGCAACTCTATTCTGATTAATCATGATGGAAATCAAATTTACTGGGAATGTAGAATGGAGTAATATCCAGAGGATGTTGGATTGGAACATATAGGTCCGAAACAGCAGCTTTTGGAACATGGAATTGTGGACCCCCAGCCCCATGTCACGTGGAATCTGTCTGAACATTGTCCTGCGAACATACTTCACCAAATGTTCTTATTTTAGTTTTATGGAGTCATAACTAGACTGAGTCAAGCATGATAGTCTTTTAATAAATTAACTTATGAATATAATTAGAATAAAAGGGTATTTTGCAATTTTAAACCAAAAAATATTAATTATTAATTAGGAGTGATCTTTGATATTAAGAAATGACAATTTATCTAATGGTTGGTATTTTTTAGTTCAATATTATTAAAAAATTAAAGTTTTGTTTGATAATATTTTTTGATATTTTAACTTTTAGTTTTTATATCTTTTTATTATTTTAAAAATATATAAAATGTTAATTATAATAAATATTAAATATATTAAGAGAAAAGTCTATATCAATCCTGACTCTCAAAATAAATTGAAGTCTCAACTTTAAATTAAGTCATTTTAGTTAATTAAAACTTAGGTTTGGAAACCAATAGTTGGAAAATATAATTGGTTTCCAAATCTAAGTATCAATATTTAATATGATGAATTTTTAAATTTTGAATGAGATTACAAATTTTCAATATAGATTGAGATTTTACTTTTTTTAAAAAAAGAAATCAAGATAGATATACATTAATTTTATATAATAAATATATTTAGGAAAAAGTGCTTGTCAACCTTATCTCCTAAAGATTAGGAAGAAAATCATCTTAAAACTATGTCGTTTCAATAAATTTTTATTGAAAAAGATTAAACTATCATATTTTTAAAACATGCATAAAAGTGATTTTTGTTTTTTTTTTCTCTTAATTTTTTGGAGGTAAGGTGGAAAAGCACTAACCCCATATATTTGATATATTTTTAAAATATTAAATAACTAAAAAACCTATAATTACAATTATAATTACAAACAGTATTACCAAACTAATCCTAAGCTGAATGATACTACTATGTTAGATAAATGCTTTATCTCTAGACTAAAGTATGCATCCAACTCTTTGCCTTAATAAATTTGAAAGTATTAAACTCTTACATTACACTATGAAATTTTTAGCTTTTGAACCTAAAGGTTTGAAAATCTTAACTCTTAAATTAATGGAATCCATTAATTCTTTGTGAAAGTGAAAATAAAATATTTACAAGATTAGTTATCAAAAATTAAAAATATAATAATCTAGTTCCCAAAAAAAATAGTAAACTAAAAATAATTAGTGAATGTCTTTACCACATACATGATAATAGTATCAAATATCTACAATTAAATTGAGTGATTAGTTTAATCTTTAAAAAAAATCTAATTGATATTAAAGAAAATTTTTTAGCTGTATTTTTCTAATCTCTTGGGTGTTCTATTTTAATTTAGTTAAAAAATTTTCTTTAATCTCATTTAAAATTCTTTTTTTAATTTCAACTAATCACTAGATTTGATTGAAGATATTTAATACTATTGGCAAAAACATCCATTAATTATTTTTAATTTACTAATTTTTTTAATTTTAAACTTTTGAAACTAAATTAATATATTTTTAATATTTGAGAACTGATGTTATATATAAATATTTTATTTTTACTTTAACAATAATTAACAAATTTTGTTACTTTAAGAACTAAAATTTTCAAATTTTTAAATTTAAATATTAAAAATTTTATAATATAAAATAAAATATTAAAACTTTTAAATTTAATAAAATAAGAGACGAAATATATATCTTAATACTTTCCTTTGCGCTGAGAAGCTGAAAGATCGAATGATTGGGATTTACATCACACCCCCAACCCACCCCCCCAAAAAAAAAAAAAGTTGAATGATTGGGGCTAGCTAGAGGAATGCAATGAATGAAGAATGCAGTCTTAGCCCAGAGTTCTTTGGATCCAGTCCATCTATCTTGGCCCAACTTGTCCAATATTTTTTTCCTTTCACAAAAATGGGCTGTGTTTAGAATTCCGAGGAGCTAGGCCTAAACAAACCTCTCTAATGTCTATGGTAGAAGAAGCAAATGAATGAAGGCAAGCAGCAAGCACTGTTGCCTGCCTGCCTACCACCACAGCCGTAGGTGAAAGCCTTTATCCAGTAGCACCACTCATACAGGTAGACAATGTATGGTATAGGTTTAGGGGTGGTAATTGCCACCATTAAATATATTAGGGTCATAAATATTTTAATTTTTTAAATAATATTTGAAATTTTTAATTAATTAATATTAATTATTAATTATTTTTATCAATTAAATTAAATTAATATTTTTATAGATAATAATTTTTCATTTTAATAATGTTAATATTTCTATTAGTGGTCATAACCATCCCTATAAGTTTAAGATGATGTCTCAAAAGTAGGCATGTAAATAAGCTAAGCTAAACTATTTCACTCCGATTATGTTTTGATTCAATTCAAGCTTGACTTTAAATTCAAACTCGACCAAAATAAGACAAAAAAACTTCCCAGCTACTTAAATTGAAATTTTGATTAAAAAATTAATTATGATTGTGTTATTATTATAAATTTTAGTTTTATAATTTAAATTATATTAAATTATAAAATCAAAACTTTCTAATAAAAAAAGAGTTTAATATCAAAAGAGTTTAATATCAAAAGAGTCTCTTTAATTTAAAAATAATTATTTTTATTTGTAACAAACATAAATTTAAAAAAAGGGATTTAAACTTAATAATTTAGTTAAAAATACATCTTTTTATAAAAACTTATAAACAATTCATGTACTAGATAAAGTGCAACTGTTTTTTTTTTTTAAAACAAATTATAACTTTTAAAATCGAGAAGGAAAATTAAAACTTAACTCTAAAATTGAGATGCACCTTATAATCAGGCACATGTAAAACCAAAAAGGCATATATCGATCGAGCATGAGGCAGAGGTGCAGATGAGGTGCAACTGTTTTATATTTCTATTCAATAGAATCTAAATAGTAAAAACAGTTGTTCTAAGTGTTATTGTTACGTTGACGACCTTCGTTTCTCCCTGAAATGAAAAGAAAAGAAACTGAGATTTGATGTGTCTATTCCATACACTTTTTCCACGTGCCATCTGAAATTTTATCGGTTTTGACAGCTCATCTGTAACCTTTTAAACTATGCCTTCCTGTTTTCAAACAGGGCAATTACTACAATATTTAACATCGGGTAAAGAAACCAGGTGTGAAAAAATTAAAATGGAAGGGTCAAGCAAGAGAAAGCCAACGAGGAGGAGGAGGAGGAGGAGGAGGTCTCACACCAGAAAAGTCGCCGGAGATTGTTTCATCAACATGGCTGAGGCTAGGAGAGAGATTCTTCATGCCCTGCATCTCCACCGTTCATCACTCGCTTCTTCATCAACAAAACCATGTGAACCTGCAATAATTTTTGGTGGTAATAATGGTTCAGGGTCTGGAGTTGATGTTGTTAGTTCGTATAATTGTTGTTATTGGGTAGTGGAGGCGATGCCTCTTCCTGAACCCGTTTGGTCCACGACTGCGCCTTCGGTGCCTGCCGGACCGCCGGTGACGGAGGAAGCAGGGGTGGTGGAGTTTGAGTGGGGAGAAAATCAAAACCAGGCTGCTTCTTACAAATGGTGGTTGGGATTTTTAAAGGCGTTAGATAGGAAGAGCAGTGAGGAAACAAAATACCCATGTTTGGAAGATGACATTGTGTTTGGAGAGCAAGAAAATTTGGAAGTTGGAGAGCCAAATTTTCTGAGTTCAGGTGATCAGGACTCCTGTCTAGATGAATGGTTGATGTTTCCGGCGACTGAAGATCAAGTTGATAACGCCGTACTGTAATCCCTTGAAGATAGGAGTATTAAAAAAAAAAAAAAACATTTTGGGCCGACACATAGTACTACTTTTAATTATATTTCCGCCTTTCGATTTTGTTTGATTCATGAATGAATTTAATGAGAGAGGCAGATGGAATGGACCGTCGCCATGTCTAATGAGGTGCCACGTCAACAAAATTATTGAATTCCTAGTGGTAGTATTCCTTTTTTCTTCAATAATGTCATGTTCCCTGTGAATCAATTGAAGTGGCGCGGTAGAACATATTTTTAGTTTGAGTGGCAGTTAAAGAAATTTATAATTTTCTTGAATATATCAAGTTTTTCTATAAGCAAAGATATATTAAGTTGATGGTAAATAGTTTCAGCATCTTGAAATTACTAAAACATTAAAAATAAATAAATTATATTTAAAATATTTTAATAATTTTAATATCCGAATTACATCATTTTTCACCGCCTTAAAAAATTATTAAGGAATGAAATACTTGGATCTCAACCCTCATCCAAGTGGTGTACAGCTTGGCAAGCGCCAGGTGTCTCCTGCAGCGTTTGGGACCTTTTACTCGTAACATGCACTTTTATTATTGTCTTACACACAATTATTAATTATTAAGAGTAATATTATAATTATAATATTACATAAAATTTTATATAATATCAAATAAGTATATATAATATTAAAAATAAATTTTTAAATAAAAATAATTAATTATATAAAAATATTAATAAGTTGAATATAAATATGTTTGTTATTTATAAGTATTTAATATGTTTAGATAGATATTTAATTTGAATTGTAAAAGAAAATTAATTAAGTAATAGGTATAAAAATAGTATACTTACAAAGATCAAGTCAAGAAAACAAATACAAGAGTTTAAAATTATTTACCTAACTTATTTAACCATTTTATTTTATTTAACCATTTTATTTATTTGATATATTATTTATATTTGTATAACTAAAATTTTTAAAAATAAAAATAAAAATAATTACATCATAGCTTATAAATAACAAATCCTAAACTAAACTCATATTCAACAAATTTCTTCCTTTCTTGCATTCTTTTTTTCTTTGAACAAGCTCAAATTTCAAGGGATAGAAGGATTTAAATCAATATCATGTTGGTGGAAATGTACTTTCAAAACTGACTACAAGCCAATTGGCCTAGAAGGTCAGGTGCCCTTCTTTACATTCTTATGTAACAGTGAGTACATATAACTTCAAATTTTGATTCCTTTTAACTTTCTTTTTACCTTTCCATTAGTGATTTTCAAGTCATAGTCTTTGTTTATTGTATAGATGATTTTTACCTTTAAACTCCAAATTTAGCATAATAAGAATAGTAAGTTAAGAGTATGGATATCAGGATGTTAAAATAAATACAATACCATAAGTTATTATGGCTTTCTAACAAACTGAAGCAAAGAATTAGGAAGACTATGAATCCAAAAATCTGAACATATTTTTTGAAATACTTTCATTTTGTTATTTAAGTTATTTTCATTCATTATTTTTAGGGTATATATTTTTTGTTCTTTATTATTAATTATTTAATTAAGTTTAGTTTTAAATATTATGTAAATTTAAATTTTGGATATGAAATTAAATTTTAAGTTTCTATTATTATTTTAGATTATATTTAAGTTTATATTATAATAAATAATATTTATTAAAATTTTCACTAATTTTATTTGAGTATAGATTGAAAGTAAATAATATTTTATTAAATTTTAAATTGAAAAAAAAATTAAAGCAAAATATCATTTAACAAGTATATAAGTATATAATTGTAAGTCGCCTGTTACTTATTGAGTTAAGTATCAAGTAGAAGTATGCAAGTATTTGAGTAAATACCAAATTTAAAAAATTATACTTAAAAACTTTTAAATTAAGTTCTAAACATAACTCATAGCTAAACTATATTCGAAAATACTCATCCCTAGCCGAGAAGGGTGCAAAATGAAAACGTAGAACGAGGCCCGTCTCGCTTATGGGCTTTGAGTCCATTGATTGATCTCTTTAATTAATCACTTATTTATTGCCTGCTCAAAGAAAAATCTCTTGCGTTGAAGCAAGTAAAATGCAATTAGAAAAACTCAACTATATAATGAAGAACAATTCAAACGTTGGGGAGTTGAAGCAAGTATTAAGGATGAAAATATGAGAATAATAAGCTGAATATATACGTGGAGACTCATAAAACCCGAGCCTAGACCCATACCATTTTGGCTCTCTTTACCTAACATATATTGTTCTTAAGTTTAGCCTAACAAATTCATACCATAAATTTCCAGCATAGTAGGCCAAAATACAATAATAATAGGATCCAACCCATATGGGGCCAAAACAAAACAAACCCCTCCAGGCATCAGTTCTTGACGAAGATCCTTCTCCTACCCAAACAAGACCTCAAAAAAATCAAAAATATCAAATATGATAATTTTAAGTAGTGGATAAGGCACAAATAAGAAGTTAGGCATGGACCATTAATGAAGAGAGAAAAAGCTCAATAGTTTACGGATTTTCAATTCCACTGTATGTCATAAAGCGGACGAATACCAATATTCTAGCAATCATAATGTTTTGATGACTTACGACTTCCCATCCTAGAGGTTCTCATATCAGTTCATTGCATGCTCAATTATTTTGTCATGTGGGGCAGGAGAATATATATGGTAGCTGCCCTAGCAGCGCCTCCATGCACACGAGGGGGAGGCTAGTGTTTTAATTTTTTGCATGGCTGGATCCAACTGGGGCTCTTAAATGAAACCCTACTTCCGCTTCCCATCATATCAATGGCTTTGTACTCCATCAATGTGTGGTAGGTTTATTGTTCACTCCATTAGAGGGGCTCCACTGAAATTATACGAAAATTCTGGAAAATTAATGAATGGGCCATGTTACGGCCATGTTTCATATATGTGTCGGTAACTTGCATTTGATCAACAAATATGGCATTCTTCGATCCATTGTGTGATTCACGAGTATGTATTAAATTAATCTTTATGCTTTCACTTCATTTTTTGATTTCTCGTCTTCCCTCATACAATTTTTTTTTACGAATAATTTTATTTATGCCCACTTGGACTCTTCCCTTTGGAATTTGGACTGAGAATAAAATGAACTCTCAAAAAGTCAGACAGATGTTCAACACACCTTACCTAATTTTGAGGTTAATTTATCATGAGTTTGATGTTTTTTATTTTGAGAAGGTGAAAAAATGTGTCAATTTGAGTTTGAAAAGACTGAAAATGAAAATTCAGTCATGCAAAATAATTCATCAAGGGTAAAAAGGTCTTTACAAATTGAAATTGACAAAATTTTTGCACGGTTGATTTACTAAGGGTAAAAACATTATTTTTTTTGTTTGGACCAACAAAAAAAAATTGTTACCCTAGCTAAATTCACTTTTTTTAAAAAAAATTTATAATTTATAGGATATTTAGTTTAAAGAAAGTAAAAAGAAGTAGATGAGAAAAAAAAAGGTCATTCCATTTTTTTTTTCTTTTCTCTCCTCAAACCAAACATTATTGGAGAAAAGAACGAAAAACGCCATCAAGCACAAGCTCACTACAATTTGATGCCAAATTTCAAACCAAACCCATATATATTTTTAAGGGTTTATTTATCATGTATTTTTAGGGTACAAAATAAGAAAAAATTATTAGTTAATAATTATTTTTTTATTTTAAAAATAATGAAGTTAACTTTTATTTTAATTATAGATGTTATGTGTAACTTTTTATTGGTTTATTTCAAATTATAAAATAGAAATTATTTTTTAATTTACAATTTTACATTTTTTAAGAAAAACTATCATAACTATTACCTAATTATTACTTCTTATCCTATATAAGATAGACAAACCCATTTTTTAATTACTTAATCAACTCTCTTAATTAATTCACTTCCGAATCCCTCTAATATATTCTCTCCTTGCAAAACAAATATTGCAATTTTCTCTAATCCCCAATATTTTCCTCCTTCTCTTTCAAGTTAACATTTTCTTCCATCTATATATATATATATATATATATATATATATATTAAAAATTTATAATGATGGCAATTTTGTTTCAAAAGGGTGTTTTAGGAATTGCAAAGACACATGCGCACGCTGCAATTGAAAGTGATAGGGCGCCTCCCTAGCTGGTCACAATAAAATCCGAAAAAGCGACAAAGTAATAGTCAAAACAAGTCAACATCGCCGCCAACCAAGCATTTTTTGGGTCCACTTTCCACAAAATGACAGAAATGTCCCTCCCTCTTCAAGAGGTCATTGGATTTTTAGGAAAATATTTAACACTAGAAATTAAATAGTAGATGGAAATTCGCTATTAATTGTTATCAATTAACAACAATCTCTACCATCAACAAAAAAAAAAAAAAATCTCACTATTTTTTCATATGTGTAAATGATTTGTCTTAAACTAACTTGATTATATAAATTAAAGTATGGTATATAAAAATTAATTTGTGATGTTGATGACCGCTATATAAAATAAAGTTAGCTAACTGAATTCAACTTATGACTTAAATAATGAACTCTTGAGATGACATGAACAATTCGACAACAATGACCCGTTCTTGTTTAGAAATGTTTAATAAATTAATATTTAGATCAAGTTACTATATATTCTCCAGAAAGGAAAAAAGTGGGAAGCTCAAGTCACAAAATGACAACATCACAAACAACCTAAAATCAATTAACTTCATCCAAACTCGAAAGGAGTCAAATTCCCCTAGTTTAACATGTCCTTAAAAAAATAAGAAATAAAGAAAAGAAACCCCTAAGAGGTAGACATGAACAAACTTCCAAGAAGTAGCTTGTCTTTGAATATTGTGAAAGTTTAGACATATAGCAGGTTGCAGATCTTGTATGTATATGGGAGAGGTGAATGAGATGATAATGGCCCATTAATTTCCTCCCCAGAAAAGCACTGCGTTGCAAATTGTAAATAATAAAATATTTTTTTTTGAGTCCCAACTCAAAATGAGTTTCGATTAAGTAAATTATGCACTAAATTAATCCAACATATATAATTATTTTTATTAAAATAAAAGTTTTTTTTATTATAATTTTAAAATGTTAGAATTTATATAATAACTGATAATGAACAAATTTGATATAAAAGAACTATTTTAAAATTAATATATATAATTTATATTAAAAAATTTAACTTATCAATTAATTTTTTAAAATATTAAAAAATATAATCATTTTGTATGAATTACACATTTTATAATTATTAATAAAAAAATAATATCTTAATATTGAGGTGACTTTTTTTATTAATAATTATAAAATATGTAATTAATACAAATATTAATATTTGAGAATATTAATTAAATGGTGATTTTTTTATTGAGATTTTAAAAACAAATTGAGAGGATGTGCCCACACGCTTTTGCTTTAATCATTATTAAAGTTATTACATCGATATGATCTAGACCATTCGATCTACCATGTCATCAAGAATGGGTCGCTACCCACAATTTTTAGCTATAAAAAGGCTTCATTTTGTAACATGCATCACAGCACAAACTAAACATATATAGTTCGTTGCTATTTCACTTCTATACAGAAAAAATGGCAGCCACATGCTCTGAATCTCCGGTGCCGGAATCCAATCCGGAAATGCAGAACAAAGCTGTGGTGGATGAGCTTTATAGGGCATTGCCATGTGGTGACACTGACACCGTGGCCAAATTAGTTGCAAGTGATCTAGAATGGTGGTTCCATGGACCACCACGTTGCCACCACATGATGCGGATGCTCACCGGGGAGGCGAGCCACACCGAGTTCCGATTTGAGCCGAGGAGCATCGAGGTGGTTGGCGACTGCGTGATTGCGGAAGGATGGGAAGGAGCGCAGGTGTATTGGGTGCATGTGTGGACATTGAAAGATGGGATTATTACACAGTTCAGAGAGTACTTCAATACGTGGCTTGTTGTGAAGGATTTGCGGCCACCTCGCTGGGAAATTGGGCACGTCGACGGCCTGAGACACACCTTGTGGCAGAGCCACCCAGGGGATCTGGCTCGCCGGTCCTTGCCTGGCCTCGTGCTCGCCATATAGGCAAACCCGTGGTTCCAGCTGTCTTTGAAATGGACGTACATGTAAATGTCTAGTGACTCTTGTCTATTGAATTATAAATTGTGTACCATGTTTCGCTTGTGGACTAGCTAAATTATTAAAAACAAGAAAAGACTTGTTTCTTTGAATCTGCAATATATCCAAAATTCCCATATCAAAAAAAGTATTCACTCCACTCGCTAAAATTACTAATCACTAAAATTACTAAAATTTGTATACACAAAACTGTTTGCATATAATTAATATTTTTAATATTTTTTTTTATAAAAAAACAATGATTAAAAGTTAATATCTATTCAATAAAACAAAATATTCGAAAGTAGGTGAACTTCATCTGTCTTTTATGGAGGAAGAGCGCGACCCAACCAATATGTCGCATAGAAGAATTCAATAATTTATTAGAATATATGTAAATTAAAAAATTCTATCATATAACTATTGTATGCTCTATATGATACATTATGAGCCAACTAACACTTTAACGTGTAAGCAAGGATAACTATTATTTCATTTAATTGGATCAAGTGAATCTGTAAACAACTCACTTTTTATGACGTGTCCAATAACCATAGGACTGATATCATACTAGACCTTATAAACAAGATTAGCATGTTGCTAAATCATTTTTGATAATAATTCCCCTGATTTTGATGGAAAGTGAAGTGGACTCTTCCCCAAAATAGATGCTTTCAGCTCCCAAGTCCTAGGACTATGGGGACTTCTGTCTTCTTTGAGGTTATGAACACCCGGGCTGGATAACGTGGGCTTCGAAGAGGTTTAGGGTCGTTCGCCGGTGTTGCGGTAGAGCTGCTGATCTTAGGACTGCAAGTATGTCTGAATTCTCCGCGGCTTCTGGTAATAACCTCGTCCAAAATCTCCCCGTCTTCTATCTCAGATGCGCCAGCACCCAGCTCGGTCTCCTGTATTCAGGAAATCAGCATAAAATGGCAGAAATTGTCGTAAGATTTGAAGAAGTATTGTGGTGAATTAAGTAGAAGACATACAGTGGCGATATTGAATGGCAGACCAGGTACTTCTTCATACTCTGCCGCATCCAAGTCCTGAAGATGAGCCCCTTTGAAAAGCTTGGGCAGGAGGTATTGTCTTATGGGGATCAAAAGCATGATCACCAGAGGGAAGAGAACACCGACCATTGGAATCCAAGTTATCCCAAAACATAAAAGCAAATAAACTGTTTGAAAAATTGTGAACACTGTAATTGTCCTGAATGGAACAGTCTCCATGAATGTTGCATGTTTCTCTTCAAGAACCCTGCAAAATTAGAATCCTCTCAGTAAAGGACAAAGAACAAAAGACTTAAGAGATCACTGAATGATTAAGTACTGATGAATGTTTGAAGGTCTTACTTGTATCTCCTGCTTGGTGCTGTGCAGAGCAATAAGATTCTATCCCAGAATTGATTTCCTGCTAAGCTTTCAATGGCCATGAAGGCAAAGTAGCCCCAAAGGATCGAAGTAGGGATCATTTTCAGTATAGGCATCGCAGCAATACATCCACCCACCAATAGGGCCTGAAGAAAGTTACTGAGACGCTGTTCTTTCACCTCAACAGGCAAGAGCTCATTGATCTCCTTCTCAATGTCAATTGCAGTCTCGTCAACAGGAGCACTGATATTTCCTTTACATGTGGTTGCTTGAATTGTCGATTCTTTTAATTCCTTTAATCCCTGCTCAAGTAATCACATATTAGTGATTTTATGAACTCTGGAACGGAAATTGAACCAAAAGTAGTAGCAACCTTACTCGAAATGAGGGCTCCTGTTCATGAATTAAAGGTGTCTGCATTTGTTGATAGGCTTCTTGCATATCTCCATACAATTGTCCTAAGCTAGCATTCTTTCTCATACTTGTACGTGCAGTTAAAACTAGTCGCTTACGAAGCAACTGCATAAACAGAAACCCAATATCATCAGGAGTATGTTGCATAAGAAGACTAACCTCATTTTTATAATTTTTTTAACAATGCCAGGATACCGTCATTTCTGATCTCAATCTCCAACTTTTGAAAGAGATCATTGGGTTATGGACAGTGTAACACTAGCATATAATCTATGAAGGGTCTTGAGATAGATTAATACCTGATGTTTGAGAGTAGCCAGGCTTTTGGTATGCATTGGTGATTGTGGGATGACTCCATCTGATGGCGGAATTCCAACAAGACCACATAATAAGGTCTGCCATCAAGGAAATTGGCTCTTAGATGTTAATTGATATATAGATTTTACTTTGGGGTTTTCCCTAATAGATTTAATTTAATTAAGAGCAATACTTGAAATTTACAGCTTCAATTCATAATTTAACATTGTCTTTGAGAGATTGATATCTAAAGTTGGATAACATTACAAGGGGATGTAGGATATATAGTATGCATAAATGGAAGAAATTAATTGTTGGGATGAAATCCCGTAACTTAAGAGAGATGAAGAGAGGAGGATAGGAAACTTGCATACCATGAAACCCAAAAGAAATAAGTCGTAGTGATAAGAAGATGGTTTTCTTAAATTGAACTCTTTCTGCTGCGCAAGCTGAGACGATACATTATGATCGAAATAATATAGCACTGCCAACATTGTTGCTGGAATGAAAGCTCCAACAATGTAGGAATTAGGAACATTCAACATGTCCTGTCATTTTCAAGTCACCAGCATCAGTTAGTCTTCCAAGAAGATGTAACATATGAATCCAGGAATTTTAGGCAAGAATTGATTAATCAAAGACATGCCTTAATGACTGTCCAGTTCTTGGAGGCACTAGGTGACCATGGATCGGGGCTAGAGAGACGACGAGGAATCCCTTCTGGGACACATTTAACCGGTATGTAGGACACAGCAGTCCATACCAGTACCATAAGTGGAACTCCAAAGTCTGCTATGAAGCTTCTAATACAACCTGTGAAAAACTTCTCCTTTAAGTTTCTCTCAGAAGGACAGATGATGTCATCTTTTCAAAAACTCAAAATTGTTTTTGTCAATGAGACCTTAGTTCAATGATCAAAGGATAAGGTTGAAATCCTAAGATCCAACTCACATATATAAACTTAACCTCATATTTCAGGATATAGGGACTCACCACCTCCATAGCGCCATGACCTTGCTTTACGGGTTTTTAGTATGGTGATCAGGAGGGCAAATGATAAAAACAAAGCGAACATGCCATTGCCAAACCTCCATGAACGTTTATATTCTGTTAATTCTGGATTTTTAATGTTTGGAATCCGAAACTCATCCACGAGGCCCTGAACAAGACACAAAAGAATCAACAGGAATTAAGAAAACAGAAATCAAAATTTTTATAACAAGCAATTGCTTGCTACCATATACCTCAATAGCTTCCTTGATAAAAAGCATGGCTATGAGCAGACCAAACAGCTCTCCAGCCAAACGGGTAAACTTGTTGATTATGGAGCAAGCTCCCAGTATAGCCAATAAGAATAACAGGATTGAAGTCCAGACACATACCCTGCACAAAAGATGAGCACATTTTTCAAACAATTAATATATATATCAAAGATATCAAGGGAAGAAATTAAATTCAACGGGAGAAAAAATAAGCTCACCATCCAGTCCATGCTAGAAAGAGGTTTGGATCCAAATCCTTTCTGTCTTTGGCAAATTTAAACATAAATGTGTACATAATGACAGTTGGTTCAGATATTCCTAATATAAGCAATGGTTGACCTCCAATAATTGAATGTATGATCCCACAAATTGCAGTAGATGCCAACGTTTGAACTGCTGTCAGAACTCCATCTGTATCCAGAACATGGTATGCTAATTTAGTTGCAACACTTAGCCTTTAAGCAAGGCAAAAAAAAAAAGTCAGTTTATGCATGATACCGGTATCTCTTTCCAGTTGTTCGCCAAATGAAATGACTGGAATGGCAGAAGCGAAGAAGATGTAGGAGGTGGGAACCAAAATCCTGTAAACAAGGTATTGACATTTGACAATCAATTGTTGCAGTATTGAGACAATGAGATTTACCATTAATATGAAGCCCAAAGTACCACATAGAAAAATAGGTGTTAGGATGTATATACCTAAAGCCTGCTCTAAAACCGCCAGTCCAATCTTGCTTGTAGCACATCAGTCTTCCTTGAAGGTCCTTTTTAATGCCACGGAATGGGATGAGAGTCTCCTCCATAGTGTTTTTTCGTTTTTTAAATCTATCTGAAATTCTGGAACGGTGTTTTGAGGAGAAACACAAAGCTAAAAAAATCAAACGAAAAGTGAGTTAAAGATATGAAGAGCAGGACTAAGTAACCTTGAGAGGACAGGAACACAAATAACCTGCAGAATTCTTGAGTCTTTAATAGAATTTAAGAAACTTAACACCAAGAGGAGGTAGCATCAACATTTTAAGCGCTGATTCTTTGAGGTAGACTTGGTGCAGGCAACAATGTAGGTGAAGAGGATATGAGGGTGGTATATCCATGCACTAGAGTCCAAGTTTTACCATCACATCAGAGAACAAACAGAAATTTGTGTTCTTTTTCTCTCCCCAAATTGGACTTTGGTTACTTCTACCAGTTGAGATTGCAGTCATTTTCCATCTTACCTATCAAAGGGCTACCCCAGGCGGTACCGTTATATCTGCCAAGCACAACTGGTGCAGAAACATTCTGTGCCTGCATCTTGATTTGCAGTGGTTAGTCATTCAAATGAGTTAGAAATTTAGAGCGGAGGACAACCAAATTTCGTATTGAATGACAAGTAGTTGACCTAAATGTTCCCTTCTATTGCTTCAAAGCCATTAATTTTGGATAGCGAGATGTATAACATGCATGCATCCAGAGTCTACATGGCAGAAATTTCAAGCTCAGAAAAAAATCAATGGTAGTAGCTGATGCATTTGACAATATTGTACAAACTAATTATCAGGATAAGAGGAAACTGGGATCAACTACTTATATTTATTGGGTCAACCTCAAACAGAGTGAAAATTACGTCTCAAATCCCAGCTACCCTTCAATGTAATTGTCTTTTTTGTGTTTCAGTCTAAAGGAAATATATAAACAAATAACAGGAAACGTGTATTTCAAGCTTTCGTTTTCTTTTTGCATGTGAATGCACTTTCTAGTTTCTAATGCATGATGCAATTTCCCTACTTCAGGAAATGAAATTTCTCGCTTTTTGGACTTTGTTCCATGCTTTCTGGACGGAAATACAAGGCTGATTTTTCTACATTA